TAGCCCCTCTTCACCTGTATCACCTGTCGTCCTGTTTCGTCGATTTGCTCGAGCGGGCGCCAGCAACATCTACATTCGTCCCTGTCGCGTGCAAGAGTTGTCCAGTGGATCCTTCTTGCTCGAGGGACACGGAGTCCATCGTTCCTTTCGTTCAGAGCTTTGGTGAAGAAGTCTGACCATCGGGCCGGCGGTCGTCCAGATGTCCGTTTGACGTTCCGAGGGATCCAGTCGGTAACCGCTCTGGTCCAACGGTCATCGCAAAATCGCATAACGTGTCCGGCCCATCTTATCTTCTAATCCTTGGCGAAAACGGCAGCGTCCCAGATCTTCAACCGTTGGCGTAGTTCGGAATTCCAGATTCTCCTCTGCACTTGCGTGTAAAGGGTTACTCCTAGAATCGTCCTCTCGACAGCGCGTTGGATAACGCTTACCGCATGCTCGTCCTGCCTGTGCAGAGTCCAAGTCTCTGAGGCGTAGGTTAGGGCAGGAAGGACAGCGGAATCGAAGAGGTGGGCACGGAGCCGGATGTTCTTCGTCTTCTTCACTATTCCCTCGATGTTCTTGTACGCTCCCCAAGCCGCTCGTTTCCTCCTGCTCAGCATCGTTCATGATATTGATTTCCCGACCTAGGTACACGTAGCTGGAGCATTCGGTGACGTTCGTTCCGTTGAGCGTGAATGGGGCATCAGGAACCAATCCATTTCTCATAAACATCGTCTTCGTTAGGTTTAGCTGTAGACCAACCTTACCACAGGCGCAGTCGAAATCAGCCAGCACTCGCTCCGCTTGCTCGATGTTCGGCGTAATAAGAACGATGTCGTCAGCAAAACGAAGGTGGTGTAGTTGCCGGCCGTCGACCTTCACTCCTATGTTCCCATTCCAGTTGACGCATAACGTTCTCGTGAGCGGCGCTGAAGAGTTTGGGCGAGATGGTGTCGCCCTGTCGGACCCCTCTCTTGAATAATTCAGTGCGTAAAGTTGCTGTAGAGCTCAGGAAGAATCTTGATGTACTGAGTAGGGACGCCCTGGTTGCCCAAGGCTTCGATGACCGCTTCTGTCTCCAAAAAGTCGAAGACCTTCTTCAAGTCGACAAACGTGAGACAGAGCGGCATCTCGTACTCCCGTTAAACTTCAATGAGTCTCGTGACCGTGTGGATATGGTCAATCGTGCTGAACCCTCTTCGGAACCCGGCTTGCTCGTATGGCTGTCCTTCATCTAGTATTCTGCCGATCCTGTTAAGGATGACTCGAGTGAATAGCTTGTAGATTACAGACAGCAGGCAGATTGGGCGATAGTTGCCAATGTCGTCCAAATCTCTTGTACAGCAACATGTCCTGCGGTTTTCCACGGAGTGGGTACCTTGCATTCGACAGGTAGCGCGGTGAAGAGACGAGCCAGAGATCTGATGATATTAGGTTGTCCATAATTAGTGACTCACTTGGGCATTTTTCAATTCTAATTTTTTCTTCTTATATGAGGTGCTTGCTCATCCGAACGTACATCTCTGTTATCTGCGAACATTGGCTATTAAAAGAAATTCAGTCGTCATTTTCTCTTAAGAAGTTCAGAAGCTATTGATCAAAGAATGATCGAAAGTAGGGTTTAAGTCATGTCATTTGGCGTAAAATTTCTTTCTGAAAAAGAGTAATATAACTCGGACTAGACTGTCTTTAGGTGATACGAGGATAGGGCTACACGGTGGAGCTGGAACAACTGCTAGCCTGAAGGTCTCCAATTCTTTATGAACATTTTCCGAAAGGTGGGGTCGAATGACATCGGATCAAAACCACACTTTGTCTTGCTTTACCTTCAGATGGAACGCGTCGCCATTATGCTGTCGACCTTTGCCTTATTCATTGGCCCTAGTAGTAGTGGGCAGCGCTTCCCAGTGCAAGGTCTCCTTCGTGCTCCATCAACATCTCAGAAGTGTCGACATACAGGTCCGACAGAGAAGCTTAGGCTATTGCTGTCAGCACCCCGAATCTTTTAAGCTAGACTTCTGCTACTTGTGGATTTGCTAGTACAATTCACCCACTTCACAACACTGGTGAATTCGCATGATGATTGTTGAAAGGAATCCTGGGAAATTAGAGGGAACATGGCGATTCCATATCGTGTCTGGGGAAAGGTTTCAAAAAAATTGAACTTTCAGCCTCGGAAGGCAACATAGAATGGGCTGACTAATTGCTCAGGTAAGACATTGTGGGTACTACATGGCAAAACATGTTTCGCGCCTTCAAGATTTTTCTTCGAATTTATGGCAATAAATGTAAAGTGAGTCACTAATTATGGGACAACCTAATAACTGGGGGTGCGTTCTTCAGGTGTTCCGGTTTAACCCTTTGGAGACCGGGCGCTGTACAATTCCACCGACTTGATGGCGTGTCGGACTTCCGAAGAGAGAACTGAGGGGACAACGTATCCATCCTCTTAAGGTTGATAAGTAGGCAGATGGACATGGCTATCGAAGAGATCCGAAAAAGAGTCGTGGATGACTTTCTCCATTGCCCTTCGGGATGCAGTAACTGTTCCATCTGGACGTCGGAGGCAGGTCATCTTGATCTTGTAGCTGGCATAGCTTCGGCGGGCATTGCGGATGCTCCTCCCAGCCTCTGCTGCTTCAGCTACTACTGCTGGTCTTCACTCCTTGAGATCTTCCTTTATCGCCTCTCTGCATAGCATCGCACGCTCGGACGTGAGTCGGTGATTGCCTGCAGCTCGTGCGGCTCCACGCTAGCGTATCAGTTTCGAGAGTTTCTGGAGACCGACGTCCCTTGGTTACTTTCAAACTCTCTGCCTTCCTGCCACTCTCGTGAAGGTGTTCAATGAGGCGATTATATTCCTCGTCGATGTTCTCGATAACGGAATCCTCTTATAAGTTGACAAGAGAAGTGAAGTGATCCCAGTTGATGACTGTCCTGAGCTTCGCTTCCTGGACTTCAAGGCTTTCTCAACACGCATCGAGAAGTGGAATCTTGTGCGGAGGAGACGATGGTCCGATCCCGTGTAACAACAGCGACGTCGGTCAGGCAAAACCTTCGATTGAAGATGATGTGGTCTATCTCGTTATGGAACTGTCCATCAGGTGACTCCCAGGTCCTACGAAGGTGAGGGCGCTTTTGGAACTGTGATACCATGGATGGTGTCGGTCGACATGATAAACTCCGACAGTCTCTCACCCTGCTCATTCCATTCCATTCCGTGAGTACCGATGTGAAGTTCTTCAGCCGTTCTTCTCCGGCCAATTTTGGCCTTGAAGTCGCCGACGCAGATCTTGAAGAAGGTATGGTCTTCCTTGTAGAACTTCTCCAATTCCATATAAAATGCTTCGTGTTCCTCCTCGTCCTAGCTCGATGTTGGTTCGTAGGCGACGAAGATTGTCAAAGCAGGAGTTGAACCACATATTCTCAACCTCAAACGTCCGATTCAGGTCGTAAGGCTTTCGTACGAATCGACCTTTATGGCCAAGTGCGTGTTGACGAGGACACCCACACCGCCAACACCTCTGCTGTCGCATGTTCCAAGGAACAGTTCTTCTCCAGTATTGAAAACGGCGTGTAGCGGGCGGTGCCTTCTCGTCTTGGTTAGTCCGATGACGTCGTACTTGACCTTCTGGCCAGCATCATCAGATCTTCGATGTGAGCTCCGATGCAAGCGTTCGTGCGTTGAAAGTACAGATCGCCATCTTAGTCCTTCTCCGTTTAGGCAGCCTATCCGGCCCCTGAAATTCTAGCAGCCTCTCCCGAGCGGTCCTACCCAACGCTGTCGTATTGGGGGTTCCCCCAGGTTCAGGGGGTAAGAAAGACCACTAATGATATGAGTCCATTCATAACCTCCGATATGGAACCACGCTGAGTGCTATCGAGAAACAGTGAGGATATCGTTTGGCCGCCCTTGACGTGGATGCTTCAGAGGTGGAGAAAGCGTGTATTGTGATTACTAAAAACTCTGCAAAGGTGGAGAGGAGCTTATTTCGTGAAGCTATTGAAATCTGTCTAATGCTTTCATACATATGTCCATATTGCCCTCTTTGTCGTGACCTCAGATTGTATCACGTTATGGGTGCAGGCGATTGTCTACCGTGGTCTCCCCTTGAATGAAATTGCCTACTTTTAGGTATTTAATGAGCACCTGATTCATTCGTATTCGGGTTTTCTTCAGCATATTTGTGCGATTTCTTCCGATTGTTGGAAGAATCATCTTCAAGTTCGAGTGGAACGAGTAGATTCATCGGTCTTCTTATCTGTCCATGTGATGGTAAGCATATCACTGCTTCCTGTATGGCTCCTTTAGCTTTAGCCAGCAGTTTGTGAATTCTTGCCAAATGCATCACGCATAACGTGGTGTCGTTGCATCAATCACGAGTACTAGAGTTTCTTTTAGGGGTTCTTTTGTTCCTTTCCTAGCTCCCACATTCTCACGAAGGTCCGTTATGCACTGCTTTTTTTAGACATCCCAGAACTTTTCTGTCAATTTGTTTAACGGATGTAAGGCAGCGATTGCTGGGCCCTTCGTCTATATCGCCAGCTTTTCGTCAAGCGGTGTGTAATCGGGGTCTTGAGCCTTGCATAATGATGATGGATACGATAAACAGATATGCTTTTCCAAGAAGTCTATCGGCCGTACAACTTGCTCTTTATCCATGTCCGTTGTTTCATACGTGAGCGGTCGAAAGAGATTTAAATTATTGTTGTGAGTAGTACTTCGAATGAAACTATGGATCGCCCTAGCGTTTTATGTAACGAGTGCTTTATTGACTTGATCATCCTTTCATAGAATCCTCCCCCAGGGTTAAAGCAACAGCCCAGACCGGGTTCCGAGCATTGGTCGCCAATGGGGTGGGGAGAAGCACTGGTCCTAGTTAAACATATCTGAAAGGGGACTGAACATGAAATCACCCTTGGAAGCCTGTAGGAAGGGCGACGAACCACAGCAGATGGGCGGAGACGGGACTGGGATGGGCGGGAGCGGGCATGGCCGCCGTCTCCCAGCTGTGATGATGGCTTGGCCAGGTGCGAAGACGTTGCGGGACCAGTTTTGAGCAATCAAGCCCCATTCTTGAATAGTTTTGGTTTCATCCTGCATTCTTCACTGTTTCGTTTTCATTTCTATACCACATCTATGATTTGCACTTTTTTTACGGATCCCTTCCCCTGATTCTTATTTCAGGAGCAACTGCAGCGGTGGCTAAGCTGTGAGATAAACCCCGAGCCCGCAAAAGAATGCTCGTGTGAAAATTCAGGTTTGTTTGAGTGCGCATTTTGAAACTTCTTTCCCGTTGGTTTTCCTCATGCATTATTTTGACCTTGATGTAGTGGTGAGTTTTAACGGTACAAGCTGCTTCTACACTCATGTATTTGACCACTTTGTTTTTTTTTTCAGAACGCACCATTTTCATTTCTATTTCCACGTCTCAATAGCATCGGCGCATCCGAATTTCGTCTTTGTTACTCCGAGGACAACGGGAAATGTTCTTGGTTCATCACGCGTCTCCCCCCATCGCTTAACGGCAGAGGAGGAATCCCCGTCTAAGCCCCTGTCCGACGTTTTTTTCTACTTTTTCTTTATCCATTCTTTCCCCAACTTCTCACCTACAACTTCATTATAGGCGGTCCTTGCCCGCAAATTCGTTCCTGGATTATTGCTTTAATTAGCCTTACAGTCTCACAACCGACACACACCACTTCTTCATTGTGTGACAGGAGGAATAAATATACAGTCACGTGAGCAACCAGAACGAATACAGGTCTGTGGAAATGACTACTGCATTGAAATAAAAGAGCCAGACCACAATATAACAGTTCAGTTCCCACCCGAAGTAACGTTACACACATCATATATCATATCACATCACATTGAAATCGGTAATGAAAAACGCCATAGAGGCCACCCACTGGGCTTGTCCTCCGAACCCATTTTTTGATCAAATGAAATGTAACATTTGCACCCAAATGGTTTCAAATCCCGAATGCTGGCCAAGAATCGCAATTGCTGTAACGGCAATTCTCCTCTACCTCACAGTACTTACGGCATATATAACATTTGAAGTAACATGTGAAATTTTCAGAATTCTAACGTACACATGCGCTAAACTAAAGCTTCGCAAGATCTTAACAATGATCACGCGAAGATGACGCACACGCAGAGACTCAGACGACCGAAATCCATTACTCGAACTCGACAAAATCGACACTAAATGGAAAAAAACCACAATGATTCGACTAATCGCAATCCTCACTTACCTTACCTCAACTACATACGGATGTCAAAAAACAATCCTTTTACCAGCAAACGTATTTCATTGTGACGATAATACTGAAACATCTCGCAATCGAACCACATTCGTGACAAAACTCAATCAAATGCAACCTGAAATTGGCATCCAACTACAAGTTAACGATCAGCAGGTCCACTATATGCACACTTCATTAAAAAGCCTCATTCTTCGATGTCCCGCAGGAACCCTCTACTTTACACGTAATACAATCACTAAAGTCAAATACCAAAAACGTTGCCCAGGTAGAGCCACATGCACCGGGTTAAAATGCGCCAAAATTAACATTGATACTTATGTCAACGAGTTACAAGAAGCAAATAATCACACTGGAAGAACCTACTCTCAGAATCCTGTGGAGGACTAGGCTGCTCATGCGGCTTTCCTTCATCATGCCTGTTCTATCGCATATACCACCAGTCACTCGACGAAGATATATACAAAACCAATTTTGCTCCGCCCGCTATCGCGCGCATCACACGGCAGGCTTATTGAAACTGAAAGACCCATGGAGCCAGCATCACATCAGCATGAGGTAATCCATTAGCCACTTCACTATTGAATGTGTTAGATCTTTCCCAGTTTCGATGAAGTCTATCGAGAATACGCGTGATAGCGTCTGGAGCAAAACCGGCATAATTATCTCACAACTGTAAACATCCAGCATTCTTTTTGAATTCGGATAATTTAGCGGTGAGTAGGATTTCCTGTCGTCAGTCTCAAAATTGAAACGAACTATGCCTATGAACGAACTATGCCTAAGAATGAAAATTATCATTTGTTGAAGACTTGATTGAGTTTATGCAACAGACTGCTATTAAGTAAGCTGGTTATACAATGATACAATGTGCACGTACCACTACAAATAGAATTTGTAAATAGGGACGCTCTAGTCCCCGTCCCACCCCACAAAACACCTGTGAGTATGGACGCTCTATTGTCAACGCAAGCTGCGTAACGGAATTGACGACTTTTGCGTTCTGACGCCCCTTATCAGCCCTTATCTGTTGTAACCACTTTCAATCACCTACCAACAATGTTCCCATCCCATCCCACATAACACCTGTGAGCATGGTTGCTCTGGTGTCAATGCGAGCCAGGTAACGGAATTGACGACTTTTGTGTTCTGACGCCCCTTATCAGCCCTTATCAGTTCCTATCGCTTCCATTCATGTACCACCATTGTCCCGGGACCATCCTACATAAGACTTGTAGGTATGGACGCTCTATTACCATTATGAACGACAAAACGAAATTGGCGATGCTTGCTTTCTAGCCCCTCTTATCAGCTATTATCAGTCGTTATTAGTCCCTATCATATACCACTTGAGTCCACATCCCACACCCCTATAATATGTAAGAACCATGGCGCTATCGTTGCTGTGACCCGAGCTACGAATTTCGTGACAAACACACACACAGACATACTTAGCGAATTATATTTAGTAGGATATACAGTAGTGGCCAGAAAGTTATGAACAAACGGTTTTTTCATAACTTCTCTTTTGAATGTCACTGGGATGTCTACTAATTTGCAACAATCATTAACTACGCGTTTTGTGATCTACACAGAAAATTTCAACCTTCAGCTCAATTTGTGTTTAAAATTTTTTAGATTTTTTTGAAATTAACGAGGCAGGTGAAAGATCACTGGATCAGTTTATTTGTTTTAAATAATGTATAACTCAACAGAACATTCCAGTAAGCATTCACTAACATTACGCAAGTATAGCACATTGCTCAGAACTCTCTAAAGTATTGGATACATAACTTGGGTTTAAGTGGGGGGGTCAATCAATGAACTCGCCCTCTAGTGGGGGTTTCCTTCTGTAGGAGCTTATTTCGTGACTCTTTCACTGACATGCGACTTTGTAGCTCCTCCCCTAGTTGTTCTGTAATGTTTTGCTCAAGAGCCTGGCCTGGCTGGTCTTTTAAAAGCACCCCATGCTGTCGAAACCACTCCTGCATGTGAGAAGCCCGATACTTTAAGTCGCTGCTCTGCTGACAGACAAAGCCAGGTCGTGTGGCAACCATGTCTACGGATACATGAACCTTCCAAAACATGACAGCAAACGTCTGCCTTCATCACTAGCTCAGTCGTGTAGCGTGGTCCCAGATTTTCCAAGGCAACCTTATCAAGCCTCCGCCAAATTTCGCAGTTGGGAGCTGATTCTTTGAATCGAAGCGTTCTCTCTCATGGTACCGTACATTACTAGTTTTCTTGCTGTCATGCATCAGTAATATGTTTTTGTCACTCCAGATGACCTTAGAAACCTGCATCAACCTTAGTTTCAGGCTTAGTCAATCAACTTCTACTTCCACCCAACTCACAGCGAGCGCTCTTCTTAGATTGAGAGCTAAGGAATACGTAGTATAGACTTAGATTCTAGAAGATGTTATGTATCTGTGGACATGGCTGCCACACGACCTGGCTTGGTCTGTCAGCAGAGCAGCGACTGAGAGCATCGAGCCTCTCACATGCAGGTGTGGTTTTGACAGCATAGGGTTTTAAAAGACCAGCCAGGCCAGACTCTTGAGCAAAACATTACAGAACTACTAGGGGAGGAGCTACAAAGTCGCATGTCAATGAAAGAGTCACGAAATAAGCGCCCACAGAGGGAGACCCCCACTAGAGGGCGAGTTCATTGACTGACCCCCACCCTGAACCGAAGTTATGTATCCAATACTTTAGAGAGTTCTGAGCAACGTGCTACTTGCGTAATGTTAGTGAATGCTTACTGGAATGTTCTGTTGAGTTATACATTATTTAAATCAAATAAACTGATCAAGTGATCTTTCACCTGCCTCATTAATTAAAAATCTAAAAAATTTTAAACACAAATTTGAGCTGAAGGTTGAAATTTTCTGTGTAGATCAAAAACACGTAGCTAATGATTGTTGCAAATTTGTAGACATCCCAGTGACATTCAAAAGAGAAATTATGAAAAAACCGTTTGTTCATAAATTTCTCACTACTGTATATAGTAGGATGAGAGCAGTCGACACACCCAACCCCACCCATTTTTACCCTCTAAAACGGCCGTGTAAGAAGGGCGGGGGGGGTCACTTCGAGGCCTCCTAAAGAGTTGATGAACGCTCGATGATAAACTAATTGCGTACGTAAGACTAGACATGTAACAAATCAAAGGGACGTCCATCGATGGGCGTACTGGCGAAGTCACACAGGCCTCCATTTGTGCATCCCCCTCTTTCATTCTCGAAAGAGAAGTACATCATTAAGAAGGACGATGTTCAGGCGACTCTTACGTCCACCATGAAAGGTGTACTCAAGTATTTGTGGACAAGGACGAGTTTCAATAATCCCCTGTCTGTTTTCTTGACTTTCCTGCTAAACTATTTAACCGGTTAACCCCTCTTCGAAGGGATAATCTAATGAGTGAAATGGGTCGCCAGTCAAAAAAAAATTGTATAAGAAACTCTCAAAAACACCTGAAATACTGGCCTATGCCCCCGAACACGAAGTGTAGATGGTGCAGCAGCGAGGTGAGACTTGATGGGCGCGGAGGAGAGAAAACGACTTCGAGATAAGAGAACAGAGAAAATCAGCGAGACGATACTGGTGACAGAGCGTCACGATGGGCGTGCACGGATCCAACTCCTAATTCCCTAGCGTATTATTAAAGGCAAGACTGGTGGTAAAATAGGTGTGGTTTAGCGTTCAGCTATGACTCTATAGGTGGGAGGTGTTCCGTAAAAGAGAAGGAAAGCAAACGAAACCACCGATTACGCCCCGTACGGAGACCTCCCCTATTTCAGCCACAGTCCACCTTAAGATAGAGAAGAGGCGAATCGGACGAGTTTCACGAACCTAACTCTACTTGCTTTAATGTCAATAACGTTGGATCGCGCCGGGACCACTGCCTCAAATGCGCCCGCGCTTTTCACGATGGCACCGACAGCGAAGGGTGGGGCTTGCGGACGAAGGTGTGAATTGCGGGTTGGGCGAGCTCCTTGCGCTTTCGTCGCTTTTGTCTTCAAGCCGCAAAGGGGGCCCGACATCAACAGTTGTCCACCTGTCTATTACCCCCTGGATGGAACAGGCGAGCCCGCCTGATCGCGGAGCATGCCTTTAATGTGTTCAGAGGCACGAAGGGGGCACTACCGCACCAGCGAACCAGTAGCATGCATAGAAGAGACTTCCTCAATGGAACTGGCCGCGAATTGTGACTTTACCCTTCGTAGTCGTCAAAAAAGGCTGATCCTTGTGCGCTCCTCTTCTTGAGCCGCTGTTTCATTGTCGCCTACATGGAACAAGGCCCAGTCAGGAGGGAATGCATTTAGCCACAGAGTATTTTTTTCAAAAACCTTAATCCCGTGATTGTACGGAATCTAGCATGTGCAACGTAACATCTTTGTAAAAAATATTCCCTAAAATGGTCGAGCATTCAGTTGAAAATTGTGAGCTCAGGAGCCTTAAATGACGAAGCTTTCCAGAGGGAGAGCTGGCGTGCAAATTGTATCAAGTCGATTATGAGAAGTTAATCAACTCTATGCTTAAGCCAAGAGTGAAGGTTGGCACAGAATGGGTGAACAAGGGTCAGAATCTTGAGCAAGTGAGTGTTTAGTGCATACCCTGGAAGTTTTTTTTTGCTCGTCAAAGAACGAAACGCTTGATGGAACACTTTATAATCTCAACATGATCGACCACTTTCAGGTGAACTGGGCAGTCGGAGCACTCGCAAAAGCGCTATATGCTAGAATGTTCGCTTGGCTCATCAAGAGGTTTGATTCTTGCAATTCTCAAATGAACCATTATTAAGAGATACGAAAGTTAGGCGCTACCGCAAGAGATTGACACTGCAAACATGCCTTTCGCTTAGAAAGGGACTATGCCTTTTAGCGTGGGAGGAGAGATTAGGGTATACGCCATTTTCATTGTTTTCGGAGTTTCCCCCCCCCCCTCTAAGGTCGTATTAGAGGGTGCACCTGTATATTGTGATAGCGCCGAAAATAACTCACTAAATGATCGATGAGCATCATTTATTTAGGGCTTCGAAAAAGTGGGAGCAGTAAATAGTGACGGTACCATCGGATTGCGAAAGAATTGCGCTTCCTAATCATGCAGCCCAACTCGTAGCTGCATGAGGAGAATTAAGTCAGAAATAATGCCCTGAAACTTGAGCCATCGAAAAAGGCAGAAGTTTCCTTTCAGATATGTACGAGAAATGTTGAGAGCAGGATCAGCCATCACGTTTGCACTTTTTCGAAATTTCTGCGACCCCCTCTCTGAGGGTCCAGGTGCGTGCGGAATTAGCCTCGGAACGCGGCAGCTATCACTTAGACGGCGGGAGAACGGGACGCGGAGAACGGAACACTTTAGAGGGGAGGACTTCTTTCAACATACTTTTTTGAATTGCTCAGGGCGATTTTATTTGCGTACTAGGTCCGCTACCAAAAATCTGCAAGAGTTACCCAACACGCTGGAAAGTTCTGCTGTTAAAAGTGGAAAACTCAAATTTCTAAGAGAGCGCACTCCCAATTATGAAGGCCCATAATACCTTTCGAATGGTGCTTTTCAGAAAGCTGTAAAAGGTTTCAGAAACTCCAAATATTCCTCCATGAAGACGTATGAAAAGTTTCGTGATCGACCGCTTTCCAAAAAATTGTCCCGTTCGCACATTTTCCATGCGAAGGCGAGTTTTTGGGCTCTCAGCCGCCATAACTAACTTCTTTTTTTAACTCCGTAGCAATTTGTTTGCACGGCAAAAGAGTGCGATAGTTTCGTGATAGTGCTGAGAAGAACGGAGTACTCTGTGGCTTGATCATTCTCAATTGAGCCTCATTATTCGACGAATCAACGGTTTGTGTTCAGTCCCTCTTCTAGTTTAACTGCCATATTCTGGAAGAAATAAAGGAATATGAATAAATGGTGTGTTCGTTTGAACACAAACAGGTTTGAACGTATGGGCATGGCTCTGCGGGGAACGAAATCATGAAGAAGCTGAAAAACAGCTTCAACATTTATTAATTATTTGACAGCAGCCACATTGCTCTTTTTATTTCGTAATTCTTCCATTGGCAGTGTTCAATCCCTGAATGATTACTCGCTCTCTCGAAAGACACGTCATACATATGACATCACCATGAACAGGCCGCCTACCTTTTCCAGGCATGTCTATTGACGAGTAGAGCACGAAATCCATTATTCTTCTAGATTCTCTAGCGCGAATCAGGTTTTGTGTAGTTCGACTTACGTACCCGTATGCCAAAAAAATGAGATACCCAGAGGTTATCCACTTCTTGCGATTAGCGTTCGACCAAAAATTGAGATGGCTTCATTCAAGGGAATTCATCACCTGTTATCATGGCAAACTGTCAAGCGGCACATCGTTCTCATCACTTCCGGTGAATACGACCTTGGGTGGTTAGACCGATAGTGTTATCCATACCCTCTCTTCGGTGTTTAAGTTACGGCGAAGGTTCTGATCTTGTTCACAACGAAGCTGCAGTAGTTTGATGGCTTCCGAAATGTACATAAAATGAATGGTGCCACCCCATGAACGAGGCCATCTCAACTTATTCTTGTGAAGAGAAAATGGTGGCAGTTTTCCCCGACTTATGATGTTATGACCATGGCATGCGTTTTTCATAAATCAGCCGCCTGCCGAAATTTTCGGCCTACTATCTGAGTTCGCGACAGGCGCGACACACTGACATCAGCCTTACATCAGCTTTGAATGAATGCGAATGGAAAAGTGCGTCGTTTTGTACTGGAATGAGGATGATCGTAATCCCATCAGTGTGTCCGTGCTTTTTCAATGTGTGATATGATGGTTGCCGAAATGAAGTGATGCAGCTCTCTTCTTTTCACATCTAACAAGAAAATTAATTTGTGTGTTTCAGTAGTGCTTTTTGGAAATACAATTTGTGATTGAATGTATCTTTTGCGGAGCATCCATATGACTATCGGACGAGTGCTGATTCACGATTGAAACAATTCGTCTTGGAAGGGATTCAAACCCTCATCTCATCATCAGCATCATAAACGTCTATACAGCATGTTTCGACAAAAAAAAGAATCTATTTTTTTTCTTGTAAAGCGTAATGAGAGCATGATGATTGTCATCCTCCTAGAGCACCCACAACACCTCCCATGACTGCTCCAACAATTGCACCCGTAACAGGATCTGAAGTAAAATTCATCTGAAAGGCTGTTTTTCCACAGCGGTCTCGTAAAGTAATTTACCGATTCTAGGTCTTCGTACGGGCATCCATGGATACCATGGCGTCATAGGCATCATAGGGTACATCTGACAATTCACAGATAATGAAGTAATCAAAGTAATCAGTAGGATGCTGGAGAAAGCTTTCATTCCTCGGAACAGCTGAAACAGTCCATTGAATGACTGCTCAGAGGAAACTCCAAATTGAGTAATCGGTAGAAAACATTTAGGATGGTGGGAACTTGGGTGTGGGATTCTCACATGGAGAAAGCAGCAAACAAATCCCATCAATGAAATAGTGCAGCGCGTAAATTTCCTCATTCGAGAGAAACACGTTCAAATTAAAGTCGTACGGTTCTTGCCGTAAAAATCGAAAAATCACGCGAAAAACGCGATTTCGTGTTTTTTGTTTTTTCGTTGCAACTCGGTTTGAAATTGAGATTTTTGAAGTTTGAAAACAGCCTTGAACTCAGCTCGTCGAGTTCTATAAGAAACGTGACAGCTCGCGTGACGGCCGATGGCCTTCGGCCGTAATTGACGAACAGCCCGATCAACACGTCGCTATGGCTCTTGCACGAGCGTGGGAACGGCATCACGCACCGCGCACGTGGATCGTGGCCGTCAAGGGCTGGGGATGCCGATCGGTAGATAGGCGAAGCCGAAAACGATGGAGAACCGAAGTTTCACTCAGGTGCAGTAACGCATATCGTTCGATAGTGTTTTTCACGGAATCTTATGGGGCACATTTCTAGTTTGTAAGTTTATCTGGAAATGCAAAAAGTCGGATTTTTTCTCAAGGACATGACCAGGAGGGATGTTCACGGCCACATCACGGAAGGATCGCTCACCTGTGATCGAATATCTGTACTTTCTACACACAAGCAAGCATACTTCACAGCAGTGAAGAGATTTCGCCGCTACCTGTTCAGATTTTGGCGAACCCTTCGCTTAAACATTGGTACATTTCACCGAATAGGGCTATTTGTCCTGGTGAAAACTGATCTGACATCCCCATTCAAACATGAGGGAACACGATTTTGAGCGCAGGAACTACATGTTTAGTCATTCAGCGCGTCGAAATGAAATAGGGATCAAAAAACCTGGAAAAAGTGATCGACCAATTCAAAATGAAATGGAAGATGATGAATACGTGGCGCGTTCTAGGGTAATTGCTGAGACCTGTCTCTCTGGAGAGCGATCATGTTGCATAAGCGGGATTATATGCGCACCACGCACAAGCGATTTTTTCTCGAGATGAAACTCGAGTGCATGGCGCAATCTTACAAGGAATGCTCAACTGGTCAGTTCGGCAAATTATACTGAGATTCAGTCCAGTGGACGCGTATTGCGACGCTGAGCTCAGATCCGTTTTCGTTATCTGCGGAACGATTCTCTGAAAGAAGTCACAAGGAATCTTCTTACTATGGCTTTTTCACTGTGGTACCCTCTATATTATCCTATCCCCCACGGTTTGCATAAGAAGAGCTGGAAGGCAGCCTAACAACAAAAACAAGTCAAAATCGTCAGCCTAGATAATTAGCCTTTTGACTGAAGCAGACTCTGGAATTTCCTTTACGTCCTTCTTTATAGATTTCCTATTATGACGAAATTTGACACATGAAACAAAACACAAGGCGCAGCTCGTAAATTCTAATTCTCTAGTAGAAATCGGCACTCGACTTCAGAGTGTTAAATTCTACTAGAGAAGATACGCATCAAATATCATGTTTGCGCAGTTGAACAAAAATTGGCTGGCCTATACACAGTTTACCACAGACAAGTGTGGTCTTTCTGTTTGGAGAAATCCTTCACGGGAACTTGCATTACTTACCATAACATGTTAGTTGTGATCACTAGAGGAACGTACGAAATTCACAAAAGAAGTTCCAATTCTGAAGAGAAAGCAACTAATGAGAAACGCACTGTGTTGAAGATCGCGGGTAGCTCGGGCGGAGCCAAGGGGATGAAAGGATGTGCGCCAACCAAATATTAGGCGATGCATTGAATTAATTGGATCAAACGTACGAGTCCGAAGAGTGTACACAAGCGATCGCTAGAATACGACGCAGTAGAAAAAGAATTATTGTTGCAATGGGTGGAAAAGTCAGAAAGTGTTACTGGTGAAAGCTCTGAACGAAGGGAAATCGGTCGCGTCGCCACACTTGTGATAGATTTGGAGCTGGAATTTTAACTCCTAACAGCGCTTCCCAGTCGAAACACAAGCAATTTTTTGCTCTCCCGCTCTAAATGTGATTGATCGGTCTCAAGCCAGTGAATCATGGATGAAGAAGTAAAATCATGACGGAACATTCCGTAGAAAATTCCTTAGGTCAATTCATCCACGATCCAAGCGCTCGAGCAGTTACGACCAGCTGAAACGAAAATAGTATGCTGACAAAATAGTGAAGAGATTATCGCTTTCTTGAAGTAGTACGGGAATGTTCTGACGAATCGCATAGCCGAACTGCTTATCGAGGCGAAGCCTATTTCTGGAAAGTATTCATAAATCAGAAGATCACGATCATGACAAACACACTACAAGAGCAACACATAGAAGCG